TTATACCCAGCCTGTGGAGAGATCCTGCAATGGAACATTATACTCTGCCTGTAGAGAGATCCTGCAATGAAACATTATACTTTGCCTGTGAAAAGATCCTGCAATGAAACATTATACCCTAGCCTGTAGAGAGATCCTGCAATGAAACATTATACCCAGCCTGTGGAGAGATCCTGCAATGAAACATTATACCCACCCTGTAGAGAGATCCTGCAATGAAACATTATACTCTGCCTGTGAAGAGATCCTGCAATGAAACATTATAGTTAGCCTGTGGAGAGATGTGATTCAAGGTTCCTTCATGTGAGAGCCATATACTGTGTGTTTTCTCTTTCCTTTTTTTTATTCTACTAGCAATCATTTGATAATATTGGAAAAACCTTTACTGTGTACAATTTGTCATATTTTCACATACCTTTAATTAGTTTATGTTAAAGGTTGTTTTAAATTTTTCTTTGTTATATGTTTATTGCATCATTCATATTTCATCAATGTTTAAAGATTCTCTGTTTTATAATTTTTGCATTTTGATACAATACTGGTTAGTTATGTTGAAGGACATGCCTTTAGTATTATTTTACCATCGAAGGACTATAGTCAATATGATTGTATGTTGATATTGTTTTTGTGAAGGGTTACTTTAATATGTATGATTATATCTGTGATACTACTGATTTGTATTGTGGTAATCATTGCTAAAGGGTTTTTACTGTGACGCTGTAGTATGTATTGGCATTTGATATTTCTTTATCTGCTGGACAACCCTTCCTAATGGGAGTGGGTGATCATTGTTAAAAGGGTTGTTTGAAAATGTATTCTATATATTTCAATATATTGTGTATCATTGTTAAAGTATTTTATATTAACATGTATGTATATAATCTACGTCATAAAAGGGTTTGTTTTTGTATTCTATATATTTGTGTTAATGGGTTTGTTTTTGAATTGTATATATTTGTGTTAAAGGGTTTGTTTTGTATTGTATATATTTGTGTTAAAGGGTTTGTTTTTGTATTCTATATATTTGTGTTAAAGGGTTTGTTTTTGAATTGTATATATTTGTGTTAAAGGGTTTGTTTTGTATTGTATATATTTGTGTTAAAGGGTTTGTTTTTGAATTGTATATATTTGTGTTCAAGGGTTTGCTTTTGTATTGTATATATTTGTGTTAAAGTGTTTGTTTTTGTATTGTATATATATATATATTATTTCTGTCTGTTACATAGAATTATGATTATGATCTGTTTGTTGAAAGATTATGGTCCATTTGTAAGGTATGTTCGTGTAATGTAAAGAACTATGTTATGAATGTAACTATAAGAGGTTCATTACATTTAAGGGTTTTCGTGTAGTTTCATTTCATGTCTGCATGGCGCATTAGACTGCTTCCTAAAGGGAGTTGGTGTTCAGTGTTATAGAGTTAAATTCTGTGGTGTTCAGTGTTAAAAAATTTATTTGTTAGTTTGTGTGTACTTGCATCGTGTGTGTAATTTTTTACCTATGTTAAAGAGTTTTCCTTTTATGGATTTTAATGTATATTCAGTATATTTTTCATTTTGTATTTATTGTTTAAGAGTATCTTTGATAGTTGTAACTTTCGTGGTATTGTATTTTTTAATGTTCCTGACGTCTGCAAGATGTGTATCGTGTAGAAGACAAAGTTAACGTAATTCTTGACCCAAGCGAGTTTAAAATTGATTTGTTTTAAAATTAAAGTTAATTATCAGCTTGAGACAAGCTGAAGGTAAGGAAGACGGGGAACTGTGGTACAGGAATATAATCAAAGGTGTTTTTCTTTCTGTAGTATTAATATTTGTTGTTAATGTTTTTCTTTGTTTTGAATAGGTTCAGATTTTTCACATAACAAGGAGTCAATAAAACCATTAAGTTGATCTTGTTTCAAGTTATTTTTTTTTCTTTGTCATCCTGAAACAGGTAACACTTGTTACCGCCTGTAGAAAAAAATTGGTACATACACCTTGTGTAAGGTTAGAGCAGTGTCCTTCCCTGAGTGTACGGGTAATATCTAAAGATCATGGCCCCATATATGTGAAATGAGAATGACCAGTCATGTAGTAATTCAGTCACGTAGGTAAATTCGAGGTTTTGTGGTAGATAACAACTTGTCATTTAGTTAGTTTTACTTCACGTCTACACTGAATCTGATTCTGACTCGGTGTAGAAGTGACAAACAGTAACTCTCACTCTGTCTTACAGTGTGCGTTCACTCGAATTATTCCTGGACTTTAACTCAGCCGGAATATATATTTTTTCTTGTCAAGTCTCCTGTTTAGCAGACTTATCGGATAGAGTTATCAAATTAAGTTAGTTCACCCGAATAAACCACAACCCTTCAACTAAAAACAAGAAAATTGAACCGGTAGAAGCACAAAGGAGTCACAATCAACTCAATGTGGGACTCCTTATTCCAACTAACAAACAGTCCTACTATAATCTAACTTGAAGCACGCATGAGTCACAATCAACTTCATATGGGACTCCTTATTCCAACTAACAAACAGTCCCATTACAATCTAACTTCAACTAAATAAAGTTCAATGAACTATGACGTGATGAACGTTGTATACCACAGGACACTGTGTTACCTGTTCGAGACCGTATTATCGTTTCATTTATTACGTTTTAAATGTATATGTATTATTAGAATTCACCCACAATTGCCCCCTATGTTCAACAAGTTTGTGAATTCACGTTTCGCAGGTAGATGTTGTTGTTTGTTAGTTAAGCACAAAGCAGCACAATGGGTTATCTGTGTTCTGCCCACCACTCGTAATGAAACCCGGTTTCTAGCGTTGTAAGTCCGCAGACATACCGCTGTGCCACTGTTATGTTTCTGATCTCATGATTTTCTCACGTGTTTGATTTCTATTTTGTCATATAAGTTTTCTCAATTAGTATTGTAATTTCCACCCGAAGAAGAGAGCTGGATGCTTGTGGGTTTACAAAACCTTATATTTTAACATGGTAATCCAGCCTACAAGTTTATTTTTCTTTTTTATTGTTATTAATTAACACATCCACGTTTGAATAACATTAAAACAATATTTAATAATATTTCTTATTAACCCACTTCGAAAATATGTTTTGAATTTTCAAGTGGGTCACTTACATTTTAGCTACAATTGTTGTTGTTTTTGTTGTGCAAAACTAAACAATGGGCTATCTGCACTGTGTCCACCGCGAGGAATCGAAGCCTTAATTTTAAGAGTTGTAAGTTCGTAAGCCTACCGCTAAACTACCGGGGAAAGCTACAGTTTAATATTACTATGAACTACAAAAGTAAAGTGATATCATAGATTAGGATTAAGACTAAATTCACACAGTAATATCATAGATTAAAATTAAGACTAAATTCACACAGTGATAACAAATTTATTCTACTGATCTATGTAAAGAATAATAAACAACTCAAAACTTGATGTTAATTTTATTTAAAAAAGTATCATAGAGATGGTATGTATATCCAGGGAAATAACCTAGAGACTAAACTTAAGAGATTCAAAATGGCTTAACCGCAGTTGTATATCTTAACTGAATAGCATCCATAATTATTTTTATTTGTGTACTCGAGTTAAAACCGTTCACCATTCCAACACACAGTATTACTTTTAGAGAATATTTTTCACCAGTGTACACAGCGTGGTCACAAGTAAATAGACACCACCTTTTCAGAAAAAAATGAAAATTTTTCAGTCATATTCACATGAATTGATATATTCATAATTTAATTAATATCTAGTAGATCTTCCTTTCGCTTCGTGGAGTTCGTTGATCCTTTGGGA